CCGGCAGTGCCCACTGCGATCTGGAAGTCGCGGTTGAGGTCCGGCAGTGCCCACTGCGACCTGGAAGAAGCGGTTGAGGTCCGGCTGTGCCCACTGGGATCTGGACTGCGAGGAGGAGGCGGCGGAGGAGGCGGAGGAGGTGGAGGAGGCGGAGGCGGAGGCGGAGGAGGAGGAGGAGAACAGCTCTGATAAAATCTAACAACCCTCACCTGGCAGGTGGGGAATTACACCGGCAAGAGACCCCAACAGTGTGGGGGGTAGGAAGTCAATGTACCAGATACAAGCAACAGTAGCTATGGAACAGTAACAGATGAGGTTAGACATGATCGCAACTGCAGCGGCAGGACCTTCTAAATAGATCTATATAGATGAGCTCACAAGATCTTCATACAAGAGCTTCCTATGAGCATCCCAGAAGAACTTTCACACAAGCACCAACGCAGAGGATCTTCAAGATCTTAGCGCAAGGACCTCTCGAGGAGGATTTGAACAGAATCTGCACAAGGTCTTCTCACAACAACCTTTACCAGATCATGCAAGGACACAGAGAGGACCACTGCTTCTCACAAAGACCTGCACCAGATCATGCAAAGGCCTTTGACATCATTTCACTAGGATCTCCACAAGATCTTCGCACGAGGACTTGTAAAAGACAGACCTTGAGAGCAAGATCTCCATGCCAGGGCCCCGAAGAGAACCTCACAAGATCGTCATAAAAGGACCTGCTGAGCGGACCGTACAAGATCTTGATACAAGAGACCTCCAAGAGCTCCCACAAGAGCTTTCATTACAAGCACTTCTAAAACATGGCATCTGCAAGCTCCTCATGCAAGGACCTCTTAGAGAGGATCTCACCAGGATCCCTGTCTTTGTTGATTTTGTTTGATTCTTGGCTGCTGAAAGTCTTTCCCTAGCTGTCGGCTCTGTATATATGTTTGTGTAGCAATTGTGGTGCTGATGGTGGCAGCCTCTTTGTGTTTGAACCTTTTTTCCTTGTCCTCATTATTCGCAGCATCATTTGCAACTAGATGCAGAACACTAGATCTTATTTCGCGGCCAGGCTAAAATCCAGAGACGGTGCAGAGGCGAAGGAAAAAAACAGAACCCCAGCAATTATTATTTCATAAACAGCTTACAAAAAACATAAACAAAAAAAACATGGCTACCTCATTCTTCCAGGAAGATCCACCGTTGTGATGTTAGATCCACTACGCTATCCACAGGTCCACGCTGCGCGAGCGACGGCAGAAGGCCTTGGATCAACTCCATGCGGCTTTGCAGGAGGTCCTGAAATTCCTGGGGGACGACTTGTCGGCTACAGCAACTATCTTATAATATGCAGATAGTCTGTCTATCTCTATATTATATTATATATATTATATTATATATGACATACAGATATCTTCCAATATGATATGCAGCAACTATCTTGTCGTGTGATGTTGTACGCTGCTGCACGATATAATCTAACTATACGGCAAGACCCTATGGTTTGCCCGCAAGGTTAGAATGGAGTTCAGATATTATCCTTCAACATGCTCAAAAACCTGCGCAGGGCCAGTGTTTTAGTATTTACCAGACGACGAACCCTAAACCCTAAAACCCTAAACCCCAAAACCCTAAAACCCTAAAGCCCTAAACCCTAAAAACTCTGAATCCGAAAGCAGAAAACACTGCGTATACGCAGTATTTCCTGGAATTTCTCTTCGCATGTTCGACGACAGGGAATCCTCAATGTTGCAGTTGCAGTCCGGGCAAACCTCGGGGTCTGCGCGTAACTCTAGATAATACAGGCAGATATTGAAAATATCTAGCTGGCAGATATCCTGTAGCTGGCAGAGAAACATAGATATCGCAAGCCCCTGGTTCCATATCCATCCTGTGAGTTTGTCCCAAAATGGTTGATTTGCATCCACGAGTGGAAAGTCAATGAACATCATCAGTTAATTTTCACATGTTAGGCAAGTGGCCATCATTACTTGTTCACAATGATACCAAAAGGATAACTGTACAAACAGAACAGGAAAAGAATACCTTCAGAGCAACACCTTATACCAACCTCAGGTCCATTTCTATACTTTAATGATTTTCATTGAATTTCCCACTAAAATGCAAATTTATAGGAGTTTTGCCATTGCCACCTTTGATTACCGGAGGGTACTGTAGTTCATGTCCGTGAAATATATCGATTGGCCCAAGTGGCTATAGATCGCCCAAGACCCTGAAAATACAGATGTAATGATCTGGAATTTGTCCTGGTTAGCCCAGAACTGTACTGGAAAGTCTAACGAAGCATCCCCATGGTCAACGATACGTGTATTTTGGTATGCACATATAAATATATACACATGTATATGTATATATGTACATATATGTATGCATGCATGCATGCATGCATGCATGTTTGTATGTATGTAATGTAATGTGATGTGATGTAATGTAATGTAATGCAATGTAATGTATGCATGCATGTTTGTTTGTATGTATGTAATGTGATGTGATGTGATGTGATGTGATGTGATGTGATGTAATGTATGTATGGAATGTATGTATGTATGTATGTATGTATGTAATGTAATGTAATGTAATGTAATGTAATGTAATGTAATGTAATGTAATGTAATGTAATGTAATGTAATGTAATGTAATGTAATGTATGTATGTATGTATGTAATGTATGTATGTATGTATGTATGTATGTATGTATGTATGTATGCATGTATGTATGTATGTATGTACTGTATGTATGTATGTAATGTAATGTAATGTAATGCAATGTAATGTAATGTAATGTAATGTAATGTAATGTATGTAATGTAATGTAATGTAATTTAATGTAATGTAATGCAATGTTATGTTATGTTATGTTATGTTATTTTATGTTATGTTATGTATGTATGTATGTATGTTATGTATGTATGCATGTATGTATGTACGTACGTACGTATGTATGTATGTATGTAATGCATGTGCTGTACTGTACTGTACTGTGCTGTACTGTACTGTACTGTACTTCACTGTACTGTACTGTACTGTACTGTACTGTATGTATGGTAATGTAATGTAATGTAGTGTGATGTAATGTAATGTAATGTAATGTTATGTTATGTTATGTATGTCTGTATGTAATGTAACGTAAGTAACGTAAGGTAACGTAACGTAACGTAAGGTAACGTAATGCAATGTATGTATGTATGTATGTATGCATGTATGTATGTATGTATGTACTGTATGTATGTATGTAATGTAATGTAATGTAATGTAATGTAGTGTGATGTAATGTTATGTTATGTTATGTATGCCTGTATGTAATGTAACGTAATGCAATGTAATGTATGTATGTATGTAATGTATGTATGTATGTTTGTATCTATGTATCTATGTATGTATGTATGTCTGTTTGCCTGTCTGTCTGTCTTTCTGTCTGTCTGTCTGTCTGTCTTTATGTATGTATGTATGGTAATGTATATAATGTAATATGATGTGATGTGATGTAATGTAATGTAATGTATCTATGTAATGTATGTATGTAAATATGTTTGTATGTACTGTATGTATGTATGTAGGTATGTATGTCTGTATGTATGTCTGTATGTATGTCTGTATGTATGTATGTATGTATGTATGTATGTATGTATGTATGGTAATGTAATGTGATGTAATGTAATGCAATGTAATGTAATGTAATGCATGTATGTAATGTATGTATGTATGTATGTTTGTTTGTATCTATGTATCCATGTATGTATGTACGTATGTATGTATGTATGTATTTATGTATTTATGTATGTATGTATGTATGTCTTATGTATGTATGTATGTATGTATGTATGTATGTATGTATGTATGTATGTATGTATGTATGGTAATGTAATGTAATGTAACGTAACGTAACGTAACGTAATGTAATGTAATGTAATGTGGTGTAATGTAATGTAATGTAATGCAATGCAATGCAATGTAATGTATGTATGTATGTATGTTTGTATGAACTAATGTAATGTAATTTTAATGCAACGTAATGTAATGTAATGTAATCTAATGTAATGTAATGTAATGTAATGTAATGTATGTATGTACGTATGTATGTATGTATGTTTGTATGTATGTATGTATGTATGCATGTATGTTTTTCAATGTATCCATTTCTGCCGATGAGCACTCAACATTCCATTTGTTTCACACAAAACAACCATCGGGGGGGCAGCGAAGCACAGGGAAATACTCTGCGGGCAGCGATCCTGATAGACACCTGGGGACAAGGCTGTGCTGCCGTAGCGGGCCTGGATGACTTGTTGGTAGATTTGGTTCATGAGTGGATTGATTTTCAGTCATGAATCGGGAACTATATATTATTAATGATATATATATATATACACATGTACATATTATCCATTTTTGTATATTATCTTATTATTTTTGCGTTTGCGCAGGGTATCTAAGAGTAGTTCAAAGAGTTTCCAGTTGTCAACCATGTGTCTCGGAGCTACCAACTATCATGGCATTTGGGGTTCCACATTCTGAGACAACGTTGGAATAGGGATGCATGAGCCAGTCAGAATTGTGGTGATGCACGTTACATCTTGCAAAGCAACTAGAAACAAGGTCAATTCTGAAGCTTGGAGTTGTTTTGGCATCGATTTGGCCATGGGTCAAAATGGTCAACCACCAAAGTCAAATATTGATGATTCACTACCATAGAATTGACCAAATCCATGGGTTGTTGGATATCCCATCCTTAGCGGGTTAGGTACTTCCTCCTGCCGCCTTCCGTCAAACACGACATTTTTCTCTCGCGTCCGTGGATGATGTTCCCATTGGAATGATTTTGGAATGGGGATTTCATGTGTGTGTACTGAAGTTACATATATATATATACATATTTATATATATATATGTAGATCATAGTTGGTTGAGTCTTGGGGAACTCAGTTGATTCTCTCATGCCGCGGACAACAACAAAGAGTTGCCGTGTGGCAGGTGATTCCGATGAAGCCAAAATGGATCCTTTACAAAGACCGGAGCTCCACATCCTCCTGGAAGAGGCCGCCCGTCATGCGCCTCAACTGCTGCCGGTGCTGGCGGAGCAGCTGGAGCAACGAGGCGCTGCAGAAAATGGTGCAACGATGGTCAAAACACCAGTCAAGAATAGTTAAAACCACTGAATCTTCAAAAAAAATAAGAACTCAACCATCCTTGACTTCCTCAACCATTTGGGGATGGCTTAAAACTTAGAAAAATACGGTGAAATGCGCTGCGCCAGGGGTTGCACTGGATTGGTCCTTGGGCAACGACTGTCGCAGCAACTTTGGCAGATACGCGCTGGATGCTGCGCTGGAGGTGCTGGTGAAGGAGAGATGTCCAAAAGAACTTGTACATATCGGGGATTTGACAGCCAAAAAATAGGAATATCACCATCAACAAAGGTGATTTATCCATCAACCATGGTGATATATCCATCGAAAATTATGATTTGTCCATCAGCAATGGTGGTTTGTCCATCAACAATTGGAATTTCATGAATGAACAGTGGATTTGGATGGTTGTGGGTTAAAGTTGGATACCAAGAAACCCACCACCTCGGTGATGTTTACCTACGTATGTTTATTGTTTGTGACTTTGACCAAACATATGGGGATTGAACCAACCAGATTCGGAATTTGACATAACTTATTAATAATCAATAACATGAGGGGATTTTCAACATTTTTTTGGATCTGGATCTGTCCAAAGATATGGGGTTTATCTTCAACCATGGCATTTTGGGGATTGTCCCTTGGGATTTTCGGTCAAACTGTGTGGATTTCTGTGGATTCCATTTTTTTTTGTCCTTGGTGGACTGGGGCATCGGTCAGTCATGAGACTTTGAATATGATGTAGTGGGATAAAACGGGGATGATTTAAAACATGGTTATTGCAAGAAAAACATGTCCAACCTGTCCCAAGTGATGCCTTTGGAGCACTGCCGCGAATGTCCATGAACCTTCCCTCAATGAAACATGGAAAATTGGAAAATCATGAAGTTCCATTGCAATGGTGATCTGGTTAGTGGTTTGGAACATGAATTTTATTTTTCCATTCAGTTGGGAATAATCATCCCAACTGACTTTCATATTTTTTAGAGGGATTGAAACCACCAACCAGTGATTTATTACAATGATGTGGGGAACAAAGGTGATTTATCCATCAGTCCATCCATCAATCCATGATCCATTCCTAGATGAAATGTCTTGGAGTTTCCAGCACTTTTTGGGACCTGGAGGGCTGGTATTGGCATGGTATTGGCATTGCCGTTTGGTGATGCATTGGGATTCAGGAGATGCGAAACGAGGCCGCAGCCCTCTCCCTGCTGTCCCTGGTTCAAGGACAGGCCGTGAATGCATTGGGGGTTCCACAAAAAGTGACTGGTTGGTGGTTTCAAACATGCTTTTTATTTTCCATAATATATGGGATGTCATCCTTCCCATTGACGAACTTATATTTTTCAAGATGGTTAAATCCACCAACCAGGAGATCATTTGCAGACACCAAAACTCGACAAATTCCGGGGGTTTTATGAAAGTTCTATGTGCTATGGTCAAAGCATGGGATATGGGGTTTGGTTCTCTTATCATCACTACCTGAGAATGGGGTATAGACGCCTATTAATCAATTGATGACCATCCCCAACACGAGCAATTACCAAACTTTTGAGCATTGCGTGTATCACAATTGCTGGTTGGCATTGTCTAGAGCTTGGGATTCGAATTTGCTAATTTGTAGCAGTATCTGATTGGTGGTTTGGGACATTTTATATTTTTCCATATATTGGGAATAATCATCCCAACTGACTTTCATATTTTTTTCAGAGGGGTTGAAACCACCAACCAGAGTATTTTTGACAACAACACCAAGATATTCAGGATGATTCAGGATTACCCATGAAGACCCAGGATTTAAGTCCACATGGTCCACATGGGCACCTGGTTGCTGTATAGCGAACCTTTTGGGAATTCGACATAGCTGTGGAACATCGCCGTTTTTGATAGGTAAATCATCTATTATTGGGCCAATTTCCATAACTATATATACTAAATTACCAGAGGGTACATCTGCATCTGAACCTCATCTTGCTTGTGGCCAACCTTTCCTCCGTAGGAAGTGGCAAAGGTGACACTTCTCAATTGATCCTTGGGTCTAAGCATGGCGGCCTGTGTTGTGAATGTCCTCAAAACTTCAAACGGGATTCAAACGGGTATGTCTGACAACGGAGGTATACCGAATATAGTGCCAGAATATATAGTAGAGAAAATGCTTATTAACCAGTGGATTTAGGGCTACCCCATTACAGACAAACCCAACTGGGGATCCTTGGGATTAGCAATGTTTGCGATCGGAGATGCTCTTCGAATGTTTTCTTGGGTGCTTCCTGGTCCTCATTTTGATAAGACCCAGTTCATGTCGGCCATGATCACAAGTACCTACCAGGTTGGCACCACCCTAGTACTGGTATGACATAGTTACGTAGTTTTGTCTAGATGAACATCAACATATGATCAGACCCGCTAAAGATGATATTTGACCATGGTTTGAACTTTTTTTCAGTAAATTCACAACTTGCAGCCATGGGAATCCGATGATCCGGAGACCGGTGGGATTTTGGTCAAAAAGGCTAGTCCACCATTTGGGAAATCTACCGGGGCTGTGTACATTATGTTATGTTGTATTATGTTATATTTAAACTAAACTCTATATATACTATATTATACTATACCATATGATATTAAGTTATATTAGATTATATGATTATATTAGATTATAATTTATTTCATGTATACATATATACATATATATTACATTACATTTATATGTAATATTGCAATATATCTGTGTCTTTGTTTTTTTCATGGCCCCAGCATATCCTGCCGCTGAGTTGCCCTGAGGGATTCCGATCCATTAATGCGTGCAGCGGCCGCGCAGGGGATGACGAGGCTGCTTGCTAATTCCTACCCCCATGTCTTAGGAAAGCCCCATAGAAGTAGATGATTTACCAATCTCCATCCAATTCAACCATCATTTCAGTGATTGAACATTTGGATCCCAATCATTTCATAAACATGGTGATTTCTGGTGAGTTCAATGGATTTGGATTTACCTTCGGTGATTTTTCATATCACGAAAACGACAACCCAAAAAGAGTCCAATGATTTACCAGAAGCTATACATCGAAATGCAACATGGGTATATGGTATGGCTCAAAAGTACCATATAATGATATAATGGTTGTCATCATCTTGATAGTGTCCTCAAAGCCTCAAAGTCTCATCATGTCAGGGATAGATTTTGGAGTTTCTCCTTGGCGAATGGATAGCAACACTGGGTTCTAAGCCTCAAAGACTGGGAAATATCAAGAGATGTCATGCAATTACTTACATCCAATCCCATCCAATCTCCATCCAATTCAACCATCATTTCAATGATTGAACATTTGGATCCCAATCATTTCATAAACATGGTGATTTCTGGTGAGTTTTCAATGGATTTGGATTTACCTTCGGTGATTTTTCATATCGCGAAAACGACAACCCAAAAAGAGTCCAATGATTCACCAGAAGCTATACATCGAAATGCAACATGGGTATATGGTATGGCTCAAAAGTACCATATAATGATATAATGGTTGTCATCATCTTGATAGTGTCCTCAAAGCCTCAAAGTCTCATCATGTCAGGGATAGATTTTGGAGTTTCTCCTTGGCGAATGGATAGCAACACTGGGTTCTAAACCTCAAAGACTGGGAAATATCAAGAGATGTCATGCAATTACTTACATCCAATCCCATCCAATCTCCATCCATTCAACCATCATTTCAGTGATGGATAATGGCAAGACCAACTTAATAACCCCCACAAGGTCAACAAGGTGAACCAGGTTTTTGGAGGCACACCAGGCATGGGAGGTACCCTTTCTGAGCATCCAAAACGATCTAAAACTATCATGTGTAATGCAAAGATATGCAAAGAATAGTCAGAAATGGATCATTTTCGGGATGATGTTGCATTTTATGTTCTTACTCATGTTTTTTTGACTACTTTCATGGTTTTTATGTTATGTTTTTCCCCACCTGCCAGGTGAGGGTTGTTAGATTTTATGTCAGTTGCCTCCTCGTCCTCCTCCTCCTTCTCCTCCTTCTCCTCCTCGTCCTCCGCCTCCTCCTGCCTCGTCCTCCTCTCCTCCTCCTCCTCGTCCTCCTCGTCGTCCTCGTCGTCCTCGTCGTCCTTGCTCAACTGCGACCCGCGATCCACAGTGTTCTCTGCCGGACCTCAACCACGACCATCCACGCCCAGTGTTCCCTGCCGGACCTCAACCACGACCAGCCACGCCCAGTGTTCCCTGCCGGACCTCAACCACGACCATCCACGCCCAGTGTTCCCTGCCGGACCTCAACCACGACCATCCACGCCCAGTGTTCCCTGCCGGACCTCAACCGCGAGTATCCACGCCAAGTGTTCCCTGCCGGACCTCATGTAGGAAGATATGGGACAAAGAATGTGCAGAAGAAAGTTAGAAAGAATGTCAGAAAGAATGTCAGAAGATATGCCAGAAGATATGCCAGATAGAATGCCAGAAGATATGTCAGAATATATGCCAGAAGAAATGCCAGATAGAATGCCAGAAGATATGTCAGATAGAATGCCAGAAGATATGCCAGATAGAATGCCAGAAGATATGCCAGAACATATGCCAGAAGATATGCAAGATAGAATGCCAGAAGATATGCCAGAAGATATGCCAGATAGAATGCCAGAAGATATGTCAGAATATATGCCAGAAGAAATGCCAGATAGAATGCCAGAAGATATGTCAGATAGAATGCCAGAAGATATGCCAGATAGAATGCCAGAAGATATGCCAGATAGAATGCCAGAAAATATGCCAGAAGATATGCCAGATAGATATGTCAGAAGATATGCCAGAAGATATGCCAGAAGATATGCCAGAAGATATGTCAGATAGAATGCCAGAAGATATGTCAGAATATATGCCAGAAGATATGCCAGATAGAATGCCAGAAGATATGTCAGATAGAGTGCCAGAAGATATGCCAGATAGAATGGCAGAAGATTTGCCAGATAGAATGCCAGAAGATATGCCAGAAGATATGCCAGATCATATGCCAGAAGATATGCCAGATAGAATGCCAAATAGAATGTCAGAAGATATGTCAGATAGAATGCCAGAAGATTTGCCAGTAAGAAAATGTATAAATATCATGGTGGGGATCACACGAAGTAAAGTAATTTTGAGTAAAACCATGAGGGATCAAGAAATTCATTTCCCCAAAAGCAAAACTCCGGGGACTCGGAGGGATTTTTTGGTCCTAAAAATCAGGGGAGAGTCGCAGGGAAGCCTCGAAAAAAGGGAGGGAAAAAAGGGGGGAACTCTGAAAATCCTAACTTGATCGAGTAAAAAGATATGGTTGTTGATATGGGTTCTTATTTGGCTATTCTAGGGGATTATATACAATGTATACCTGGTTCTTGCTGAGTTATATGGCAACAGATAGTATGGAAACCTATTAGCCAAGTAGATCCAAGTAATATAATGAGATGGGATAGGGGCTGAAATCGGGGTATTTGAATGGCTCACTTGACATCCCAGAAGAGGTTGCCACAATCGAGGCTCGTGGAGAAATTGGTGAAGGACTGCGGTGCAGATGTGAATTCCAAGGCCGGGGGTCGCCGGGGGCGGCGACGGGATTTTCGTTACATAAAACATATAGATTCCATGGTGCTGATCTTAGATGATGCAAGTACCTTTCTTGCTCTGATTGATTGGGTGTCCATGTTTGTTCCTTGGTGTAGATGTTTGTTCTTGTGGTGTTTGTAGACTATTTTGCGTGTATTTTTTCTGGTTGATGAGGCGATAACTTCTGTCGATCCTGTGCCCAAATGTCCTACTTCGCTCAAGCTTTCTTGGCAGAATTCATACACAAACCTCGCACCCACACCTATTCGGATATTTGGCAAACATCACGTGTTAAGAGCCTGGATCGATGGTGGGATGGACATATAGATACATATGAGGTACGGTCAAAACTGGTAGACTGGTAGACTGCTAGACCACTTTGCTCACTTCGTGTCTGAAAAGTGCGCGAAACACTGTGCAGCGACAGGCCCCCCCCAAAAGCGATGCCTGCATCTGAAGCTGGTTTACACAAAGTTGCGCACACGAAAGAGGCGAAAGTAGGGATATCCCTAGTGATACCTTAGAGATACCCATTTGTTCAAAAGGTGGCCTCAGACCACAGATAGACCCTTCTTCCTTTCATGTCCTCTTCCTTTCCTCTTCCGCAATAAGAGACGCTGCTTCCTCTTCCTCTTTTTCTCTTTTTTGCCTCTTTTTGTCTCTTCGTTCCCTCTTGTTTCCGCTTTCTTTTTTCTTCCTCTTTTGTTGTTTTTTTGCTCGTCCTTTCTTCTTCCTTTCCTCTTCCTCTCTCTTTCCTTTCCTCTCTTTCTTTCCTGCTCCTTTCCTCTTCTTTTCCTTTTCCTTTCCTTCCACAGATTTGTTCCTTTATCTTCATGAGTACAAGACCATAGTTAGCGATAGGCCCCCCCCCAAAAAAAACGTTACCACACTTTTAAACAAGGTATTAGAGTTTTCACGGTGGTTCACATGGATATGTAGACAGACTCAGACACATCGATGCATATCTATACCGCTATATAGATTGTCATAGATTGTTGGATAGACTGATGGATAGATACATGGAGATAATGTCACCCTGAAGTCGATAGAATAACTGATTATTTGTCAAGTCTCAAGCTGCCTCGCAGAATACCATAGAGAAAGTTGCGAGAAACACTCAATTTCCATCAATTTGCATGATCAAAGTTTCCTCTTATCCCATCCGTTTGCATGAAACACCTCCATTTTCTGGTCCTAAAGATGTGATTTCATCCTCCATTGGGCCTACATCCACCATGGTGACTTTTGTGCGATGCGTGCAGGACCCTCGCTTTGGAAGTAGCGCCCTGGACCGAGCATTGGATGCTGGCAAGGTGGGCGCGTTCAGCCAGTCTTTGGAATTCCAAGAGACCGAGGGTTCAAGACTTCTGTTGGTTGATGATCAACTGGTTGGTGGTGACTGGAACCATGGACTTTTATGACTTTCCATTCAGTTGGGAATGTCATCATCCCAACTGACGAACTCATATTTTTCAGAGGGGTTAAAACCACCAACCAGTCATGCATTGTCAATCTTAGATGGATACTTTAATTCTTTAGTCTTTTGGCACCAATGGGAATATCTACTAACCATCAAAGAATTCTTTTTTTTGCAGGGTATCTAAGATTGGCAATGCATGGGGTACAATCCGAATACGACCAGGGGAGTCTCATAATTCTTGTCGTATCTCCAGGGAATCCCCACAGAGGATCTTGAACACTGCTGAATTGGACACCAGAAAACTTAGGTTCGTCAAAGAGTGGATGGGGCCGCTATTCATGGCCATGTTCATAGGGTCGGCGGCTCTTGTTGCATCAAGGCATTGGGGATAGCCCATCGACAAAGCCTGGAACCGATAGGTTCTCCTGAAACAATGGCCTTGAGAGAGGTGATGTTCCTAGTCTGGTTGGTGCTTTGGAACAATATCTGGTTGGTGCTATAGGGCTATAGGGATTATTAATGGTTAATACTGGTTAATAATGGTGAATTATTAGTAACTGGTTGGTGGTTTGGAACATGACTTTTATTTTTCCATATATTGGGAAGCATCATCCCAACTGACGAACTCATATTTTTCAGAGGGGTAGGTATACCACCAACTAGTAGTTGTAAAAGTTATTTCAGTGCTGTGATATGGCTTTTCGTGTGGGTAAGGCTATGTAAGGCTCCCATTTTTTTTGTGCCCAATTTGCACCGCACCTAAACCTGTCATGTGAAATATTGAATTGATGCTTCTGTAGGACAGGCAGCCAAGTCCGCCATAAGATGAAAACACCCCGGGATATGTTCAGGATTCTTACTATTTTAGAGGCTACATTTTCCTCAGTGGTACTCGTAGCACATATTTCCCAATTCGAAGAGTTTCTAGGAGTAGCCACGTGATTTGGCCGGGCATCAGGAGCAAACGTCACTGAAGCTCTTGCAGCTGGGTGCCGATCCAACCGTGGGCAAGGGCGTCCCTTGGTGGCAGATTCGGTTGACCCCAGCACTGTCATTTTCTGTTCCGAATTTACCAGGGGGGGGAGTGGGATAAACCATCCCGGCACATAGAAAATATGTTTGCTGCTTGGATTCTGCCTCATGAGGCCAGAGAGTTTCAAACTGTCAGGAGTGCGCAAGTTTGACAAATTGACTGAGCCTGACATGAGCCAAGACTGGGAATTTCATTGTACTGGTTTGGCGCAGTCATGGGGTTAGAGGAACCTGACTATCATTGGAATGCTATACTGTCTTTGGTCAGCAAAGTACACAACTAATCACAAGTTGATAGGCATTATCTTTCTGTGCGTGTGGGTCGGTTGCTGGTCTTAGTCTTTTGGATGTTTTGTTGCATTCAACTTGATGCGCTTGCGATCCATGTTGGTGGGCAGCATACACATCCTGATCAGAAGGCAAGCTAGTGGTGATTTTATGGTATGTCATGCTATCTCCCCACATCATGGGCGATTGGGTATCCAGAACAGGGCGCCAAACATGAGAAACATCAAAGGTCCAAAGTCATGCATAGTCCATTTCAACGGATACTAACTGCGCAAAGCCGTCCCGATGTTCCGCCGACAACATCGCCAAAATGGACCAGCTCTCAATAGGAAACGCTCAGTATCAGTACTCCATTAAGCATATTAAGCATTGCGAAGAAATCTCTCTCTCTCTCTCTCTTCCTTGGGAACAGGAATGCCGCGCATCCAAACGGTCCAAACCCCAGTGAACACCAAAAAGTTCTGAATTGCCAAGGTGGACTACGTTTTGGCTCGCGCAGGACCAAAGGCCGATCCATCACCCTTTCTGTATCGCCGCCGTGCCATGGGGATGATGTGACTTTTCCCGCCTGATGTGACTTAAGTACGGTGCTAGTATTGGGAATAATAACCCAACTGACTAATATTTTTCAGAGGGGTTGAAACCACCAACGTAATGTATTAGTTTCTCTATGTTTCTCTCAATAATACAGGTAACTATTGGATTGTCATGGATTGTCAACATCCAAACATTACATTGTCAGAATGATAAAAACGGAATTTACGGAATGGAGACGTGTCTAAAATTTGTGTCTTTTTCATTCGCATCTTGATATCAACAGTGTGTTCATGGACGAATTCTTGGAGAATGTTTCATCGTGGATCATTTTTGTTCACAGATTCTATGGATTGCTATGAGTTTTAGAAGAGGATTTTGGTAGGGTCCCGTGGCATCAACGCTATTGCAGATTTTTGTGTTGAGCATGGTGTTGCCAAAATCGAGATAGAAAAACCTGGTTGGTTTTTAACAGATGGAGCTTTTTATCAAAGCATTTTGGATTGACATGGCTCATCCTATGACGGGGCTTTGCATCATGATTTCTCGCGCAAATATTGATAATATTGTACACACCAGACACAGCAGACATTTTCCCATATAATATCAAACTCTAAGGTGTACCCATCAAACTGAGATTATATATTTTCATATATGTTCGATATGCCTTGTGTCTACACGTATATGTATATATATATATATTAAATTTTTGTTATACACAATAGATTACTGACCGACGCCACATGTCTTTCCTCATCGTCCATGTCCCAAACCGCCGCGCTTTTGTTTGAAGTGCAGGTGCGGGCGCAGTTGCCGCTCAGCTCCATGAGAAGCGCAGCTGGGGCATCCTCAGAGGTCTGCGGCAACGACGCAAGCTACGTTAAGTAAGCAATAACTCGTTATGTGTGTCAAGGTTTTTATATCATCAATAATTATTATATATATATATATACATAGTCATATATCTACTTAAGTTATATATGTATATATGTCGTTGACACAGTTTTTGTTTAAACTAAAAGCCAAACTACGTTTAATGTAAGTATGTCTATATATACCTTCACCAACCATAACCTTTAAAAATAAAGGATCTACTTGGAAACCCGAGGTTTCAAAAGCAAACCCGATGTTTGTCCATGGCCTCCCTATCTGTGACCTGCCAAAAGTTGATGCGGCCATTTTCTTGAACATGTCAACATGTTGAACTTTATTGAACACGCGTAAAAACGTGTCACACCATATAGAAACATGTTGAGCAATGTTGAAATATGCTAACACTACCATATGCTATATATATATACATATCAACAGATATGGAGATATGTGCACATATATCTATACCCAAATATGTCCAAATCTTAAAATCCCAATGGTTTTTCACGATCGACTCCTCAACCATGGAGTTCAGCCCCATGCCATGGCGCAGGTGGACTTCAGCGGCCTGCGGAGCAAGCTCCAAAAGACTTCGGAGCGCATGGTGCTACAGCAGCTGGAAAATCAGAGGTGCTGGGGTCCAGTTCGTCCAGTTGTGGGCATAGATGATACTTGGAATATAGGATGATGGGATGATCATCATTTATCATCGGAAAATTGGTTGATATTGCTTGATGTGCAAAAGACGTTTCGTACTTGTCCTTGCCATTTGGATCCACGTAAGTTGGAAGGATACGTATGTATAAATATAAATAAATAAATATATTATACATATATATATATACATATATATATACATACATATATACATACGTATATATGTATATATATATACATATATATACATACATATATACATACGTATATACGTGTATATATATATATACGTATATATATCATGTATATATATATACATATATATATATACGTATATATATACGTATATATATATACGTATAAATATATGTATATATATACATATATATATACGTATATATATATATATTCATATATATACATATATATATATACACATATATATATACATATACATATATATATATATATATATACATATATATATATATACGTATATATAATTATATATATATAATCATATATACATTGTCATGGTCTAACCAGCGAAAATTGGCTTGGTATGGTAGAATCTCTTGAAGAAAAAACATGGAGTAGCTGCAACGGTTTATAACAAACCAATTCCGGAGTCAGTGAGAACAAAGGCTTGAGTGGTGACCAACCAAGAACGACAAGATACCCTTTTGCACATCCCCGAAGCACCCACCACTTCAAGACTTGCCAAAAATGGTTGCAAGTCAACAACAGTGACGTTTCTTGCCACGAATGATGGTTGAAAAGTACAATGGTCAAGATATATGGGGTATACCCTCTGGATCCCTCTGGCAATTTCACATAGCTATGAAAGCCATGGCTCGTTTAGTTTGATGATTTACCATGTTTTACCTATCATTTTATGAAGATCTTTCCGTAGAAAACTGTGAAAAATCATCACAGGGTAAATCCACTTTGTTTTTCAGGTGTGTATCACATGTTGTCCCCATTCTGCCACCATGAATTTCTGGTGAATTCCTTGGTCTCAAACGCTTCAGGTTCTCCAAAGTGCAACTGGCACAGTTGCTGCAGGAAGCCGCAAGGCGAGTATAAGATAGGGACAAAAAAACATCATAAGTTATGATAAGATAGGTTATTTAACCATCAAACATAGGGATTATATAATTTAAGCACCAAAAATAGATGGCTAACCTTCAAAAATAATAGGTATCTAACCATCAACAATTGGGATTTGACTATCAACAATTGGGATTTAACTATGTGTGGAATACTTGCGGGTGCAGTTCCACAAGTGGATGTAGAATCATAGTTCCAGGGCTCCAATTTTTGGGGCTCCAATGTCCCAACTGATGGTGTTTATTACGTAGAGTTTCCCACGCGGTTTGGAAAAACCCCAACTGCACCAAAAAACAATCGGAATTTTTCACTATCAACAATCAACAAAAATAGGAATAGGCGTCTAAGACCAACCATTGGGTATTAACTAACGGTGGCATAATGGGTATTCATTTTATTCGGGCTATTAACCAACGGCAAGGGAGATGTACCACCTCTAATTTGGCAATCTCTAAAGGGGAAAATGATGAAGCACTGAATCGAGAGAAGCCAGAAAATAGTCCAAAATGGGGGATAGCTCCAAAATGCTCTAAATATAACGTTTCTAAGAGTGAACATGATGATACATGACTGGATATGATAGGATTGTCTTGGCACCCTATTTTTGAACAAACCCATACATTCGCATAAATGGTAATAAATGTCTACAGCCCCATAGAATGAGTATCCCTTCTATTTCAAGCAACAAACTAAACACCAGCAGAAACCCAGCAGCCTGCAGAATCGGCTACAAGCCACGTCTTCTGCGACAGCTTTACGACACCTTGGCCGAAGAGCTTCCATTGAACTGGGACGAGGCCTTGGCCCCGAGAAATTTCCAGTGGATCAAAACATTGTTTGGCCAAAAAGTGAATTCAGTAGAGATTGGCAATTTTTTTTGATCACCACTTTAAAGATCAAGACATGTTTAGGATTTTACGTCTCTAAAGATTGGAGCACACGAAAAAGTTGAATTCAGTAACCAGATTGTCTTTTTCACGGTAGCACGGCAGTGGACATTTCTCATTGTCAATCTACAACCGTCGGCATCCGTCGATTCAAATTATGGATTTCTGGCTAAACATCTCGGTTTACCAGCTTGTTACCCTCTGGTAAACTAACATAGCTATTGAAAATTGCCATTTATAGTTGATTTACCCATAAAAAAAATTGTGATTTTCCATAGTTATGTTAGTTTACCAGAGGGTAACTGCTTAAATCCTCATAACCCCCAGCTGTTTCTAGTCTCCTAGGAAAATTCCGATCAGACAAACCTAGAGAAAAATCAACTTCAGAATCAGAGGGGGGAAGTTGCCAGGGCTACCTCCCTTCATTTCACGAATACGCATATGTATATATATATATACATATATACACACTCACACATATTTGTAATCATTGATCATGCTGTGTGGAAACGTGCAAAATGTGGGTTCTCCATCATGTTCCTAGTGACTCTAGTGAAAGAAAATTGTGGTGTTTACCCAATCATACAGAAACACCTCCCCATTAGGACGGATCTGTCTATTTAATATGTCTATTTAATCTGTCTATCTAATCTGCCTGTTTAATCTATCAATTTAATCTGTCTGTTTAATCTATCTATTTAATCTGTCTTTCTAATCTGTCTCTTTTATCTGTCTATTTAATCTGTCTATTTAATCTGCCTGTTTAATCTATCTATTTAATCTGTCTGTTTAATCTATCTATTTAATCTGTCTATCTAATCTGCCTGTTTAATCTATCTATTTAATTTGTCTGTTTAGTCTATCTATTGAATCTGTCTATTTAATATGTCTATTTAATCTGTCTATCTAATCTGCCTGTTTAATCTATCTATTTAATCTGTCTGTTTAATCTATCTATTTAATCTGTCTATCTAATCAGTCTCTTTTATCTGTCTATTTAATCTGTCTATTTAATCTGCCTGTTTAATCTATCTATTTAATCTATCTATTTAATCTGTCTGTTTAATCTATCTATTTAATCTTTCTGTTTAATCTATCTATTTAATCTATCTATTTAATCTGTCTATCTAATCTGTCTCTTTTATCTGTCTATTTCATCTCTGTCTATTTATTCTGCCTGTTTAATCTATCTATTTAATCTGTCTGTTTAATCTATCTATTTAATCTATCTATCTAATCTGCCTGTTTAATCTATCTATTTAATCTGTACGTTTAATCTATCTATTTAATCTGTCTATCTAATCTGTCTCTTTTATCTGTCTATTTAATCTGTCTATTTAATATGTCTATTTAATCTGTCTATCTAATCTGCCTGTTTAATCTGTCTATCTAATCTGTCTGTTTAATCTATCTATTTAATCTGTCTGTTTAATCTATCTATTTAATCTGTCTATCTAATCTGTCTCTTTTATCTGTCTATTAATCTGTCTATTTAATCTGCCTGTTTAATCTATCTATTTAATCTGCCTGTTCAATCTATCTATTTAATCTGTCTATCTAATCTGCCTGTTTAATCTATCAATTTAATCTGTCTGTTTAATCTATCTATTTAATCTGTCTTTCTAATCTGTCTCTTTTATCTGTCTATTGAATCTGTCTATTTAATCTGCCTGTTTAATCTATCTATTTAATCTGTCTGTTTAATCTATCTATTTAATCTGTCTATCTAATCTGCCTGTTTAATCTATCTATTTAATCTTTCTGTTTAGTCTATCTATTGAATCTGTCTATTTAATATGTCTATTTAATCTGTCTATCTAATCTGCCTGTTTAATCTATCTATTTAATCTGTCTGTTTAATCTATCTATTTAATCTGTCTATCTAATCAGTCTCTTTTATCTGTCTATTTAATCTGTCTATTTAATCTGCCTGTTTAATCTATCTATTTAATCTGTCTATTTAATCTGTCTGTTTAATCTATCTATTTAATCTGTCTATCTAATCTGTCTGTTTAATCTATCTATTTAATCTGTCTTTCTAATCTGTCTCTTTTATCTGTCTATTGAATCTGTCTATTTAATCTGCCTGTTTAATCTATCTATTTAATCTGTCTGTTTAATCTATCTATTTAATCTGTCTATCTAATCAGTCTCTTTTATCTGTCTATTTAATCTGTCTATTTAATCTGCCTGTTTAATCTATCTATTTAATCTGTCTGTTTAATCTATCTATTTAATCTGTCTATCTAATCTGTCTCTTTTATCTGTCTATTTAATCTGTCTATTTAATCTGCCTGTTTAATCTATCTATTTAATCTGTCTATTCCATCTATCTGGGATTTTCCCAGCATCCAGGCTGATGTCACGTCCGACGCCGCCTTTGCACGGCGGCCGTTAGATGTGGCACTGGAGACGGCGGTGGAGGAGCCATCGATCTCCACGGGGAGCGCACGGTGACCGGTGGTAGGGGTGAACATTGGGTAGGTGAAAGGCTTGATTTTCAGCCATTTTGGAAGTTATGTCCAACTTCTTTGAGGAAACAGGGTACGTATCCACTAGTTGGTAGTTTCAAAGATGTGTTTTTTCTGTTATTTTCAAGCATATTTAGATGATGTGGGATGATCCCCACTAACAAGAAGCAGTGAAAGAGATGGAAAACCAGGTTTGGGGAGGGGTTGCCTGAGAATAGCACACCCCAAAATAGTTATCCCAAAGCAATTCTTATTCTGGGTATCCACCATTTTTAGATACACCCTTTCGGAGATACTTTTCACCATTCTGGGGACAAGAATATACAAGAACAAGGTGGTAAACCATTTGGGGGTGATGAGTTAATATTTTCTATTTGGAATGTTTGTTTGACATTCAGGGGGATAGTTCTTATCCGGGATAGTATTAAACCCCATGAATCATGCGAGTTTTCTGAGAGGCTGTAGGCATGGGCCCGCGGGCATCGGCGAAGGTTTAGGTCGCAGATTGTTTGATGACGGGTTTGGTCTTGTGAGTTAGCCTCTGGTAAACTAATGTAAACAGCCACAGTTTGCGAACTGGAAAAAATGGCCCAGTCGAAATTGTGGATTTACCCAGCTAGAAAATGGTGATTTTCCATAGTTATGTTAGTTTATCGGGGGGTAGCTGGAGCATGCTGCAAAACCACTTTGTGTTGATCTTCAGCTATGCTTTTCACCAAAGCCTTCGGCTTGTCTCTTCCATCGTGTCTAGGCAGGTACTGCAAATGTGAAGAATGCAAGGCAAGACCACAAGTAGTGTAGAGTATCAATCAGGTTTTAAACAGAAAGGATCCAGCAAACTCCAATTGATTTCAAATGCAGTTGAGATTGCAAGAATCCAATAATTCAAGTTGTTTTTGTTTAGTTTCCATACAGTACCCAGTCTCAGTCTGACACTTTCGTCACATCTACTATTTCAATACCAGACTTTCAATGAATTTCTGCCGTTGCTGGTCCTCATCCTGCAAAAAAGATCAAACGCCCCCATGGTTGTCGACGGTGGTCGCAGCTGGCGTGAGGCACGTGCAGGGGCCGAAAAAGTCGTGGCTGGAGGATTTTTCATGGCATCACATGGATCATCTTCCACGGCGTTTCCCGAGGTCCGCGAAAGTTATGCTTTGCTGCCTTTGGAGCCGCCCGGATAAATGTGGGAAACCTATGGAAACCTCATTTTGATAATAAAGAACTATCATTTAAGGGGATGATAAATATATAGCACCCAACATGGTGATGATATTGGATGGTGTACAATTGGGTGCACCACATGAAAAAACTGCATAGATTCTCAAACCGGACATATACAGCGTACATGAACGTTTCAGTAGAGTCTATTCTGTTCATGGGGCTTTTTGGGTGAAATGAGCCACACCTACATGGTGGTTTTGTGGCGGGTCACTGGAGGCTTTTCTAGCAGCGAACACTTCTGCAGTAGGATGCCTCGGCTTCCCACCGAGCCTAGGCGACCAAGCCCAGTGGTAGACAGCTCCAGAAAACGAGCATCTGAGGTGGAAATGATGGGGGAGTTGTTGGTATGGTCAAAGTGGTTGAAACATGTTCGCCCCACACCGGAGGTTCGCCCATGCACAAATAACACCCAGACAATATCATATACTTGTCACCTGAGGATGAACGAAAACACCGGCTATACGCAGGGATTTTGACTTTAAGTTTTAGGATTTAGAGTTTTAGGATTTAGGGTTTTAGGGTCGTATGCAGGGATTTGAGCATGTCAAAGGATATGCGAGATCAGCTTGGGCAAACATCAGGGTCGCAGCGAACATGTTTTTCAAATTGGGGTCCATGGTTTTTGATCTGAAATTTGAGGTTGGAATGGTTTTTCAACTTGTTGATGTTTTAGAAAAAGCTTCTCATTTCACCTTATTTATTTCGTTGCATCTTTGATCGATAGCTTCCCCATCCCATCCCAGGGATATCCGGTGATCATCCCAGCCCCCGAGCCTTGGCTGGGACGAATGCTTCCAGTGGCCCATCTGCAGCCAGGAGAAAGCACAATCCCACAATGTGGCCCCCGTTTTCGATCGCTAAGTTGGTTTATAAATCAAAAACTATGGTTTATCAAACTTATAACATCTTATACTGCAACATCTTACAACATCTTATAACATCTTATAACATCTTATAACATCTTATAACATCTTATAACATCTTATAACATCTTAAAACTATAGTTAATGAGGTGTATAAACCAACTTATAACGGGGGGCCACATTGCACCATTTGTTGATGAACAATTCCATGGTTTGACGATCAACAATTTGGGAAATAAAGTGCTATGTTGACGAAAGGATGTACTAAATTTCTATCATTTTCTATCTATTTGTCATAGTCACATGGTCAGCCAATGAGAGCACTTGGGAGTATGCAGTGGCACACCTCGTGAGTTGCTGAAGTGGGCTGGCATCGCCCTTAGGATGTCCAAGAGGATGTTGCACCTTGGCGCACCGGGCTCTTTTGGACCAGCTTCGGTGGTTTGCTGGGCGTTCCTTGACAAACTCAACAATTGCTGACGGGCCCGTGGCCCGTGGCTCATCGTGGCTCCAAGTGTTAAGCATTGTTACGCTTAAATCTTAGGAGGACCTTGAGTATCTTGAGTGCTAAGCTGATTGTTGCTCGATGTTGCTCGTTTGCGGGTGACCACTTCAGGAGGTAATTTCTTTGGACACTGCCGTGCTGTAAATTGGAAGTTCTATTTGAGCACTCGCCCAATTGTTTTGGGAGATATCTTGTTGGATGTAGCACTGGATCCTCAAACTTTGGCGAAGAAAGGACACTTACCTTGATTGGATTCAGATGGATTCAGCCTAATCGCTTGTGGTTTCAAGCATTTTTGCATGCCTTCTTGGGATCAGGATCGATATGGAATAAAACTGATGTTTAACGATTTAGAAGCACGAGCCGGGATATGATGCACAGAGATACTCATTGTTTGACTGTAAACAAATCAAAGTCCAACTTTAAAAGAAAATAATAGGTAAGTATCCAAGATTTCGCAGGTATATTTTTCCTTAGTTTTCTATGGCTTCACATGCCCGGTTGCTGCTCCTGTTGGTGCAGTGAAAAATCTCAGCTGAGGTCCTCCACGGTGTCACTTGGCTGCGGATTGCCCCCTGGAAATTGGAATAGAATGAAATAACCAACCACTGGTTGGTGGTTTGGAACATTTTAAATATGTTTCCATATGTTTCCATATATTGGGAACAATAATCCCATTTGACGAACATTTTTCAGAGGGGTAGGTCAACCACCAACCAGAAAGTCACCATTTTCCAGAGCCAAATGAGGATGACGAGTAGCCATGGGAAGGATTTTGTTTTTTCTGGCTGGCCCTCATTCTGAAAAGCGCATCCAATGTACTTCCCTCAACCGACATGAGTTTCAGCCGGGCTAATGAGCTACAATGGCAGGACAGCTACTAAATAGCTTGGCAAAGGTGGAACCTAAGCTTGGGCATTTTAATTATATGAACATTCATTGGCATTTTGGGGGTTGGACCCAGTAGCCACCAGTGCATTGTGTGTATTGTATTGTCCTTGTATGTATAACTACGGTAACGACATTTAAATATGTGGGGGGCGGGCCAGACCGCGAGACCCCGGAGGTAGTATGAAATACCAGTTCGTATATTTAAATGTAGGTACCGCATCTTTAAATGAATTGGATTCCGTATGTTTAAATGGCCGGGCGGGCCAAGGAAAACCTTTCCGGAGGTAGTCTGAGATACCAGTTCGTATATTTAAAAGTCCGTATATTTAAATGTAGTTACCGTATAAGGATGTATGCATAGACACATGAAGCATTATATACATATGTAGATATGGGTAAATTATAGCGAACTCACTGTTCTCCCTGACTGGAATGAAAATTAGGGGCAACCATCCCATAAAATAGTCTTATTATGTCTTATTTAAGGTACTATAATTGACCCAGACATATGCACATGAAGCATTGCATACATGCATGCATAGATAGATAGATAGATAAGATAAGATAAGATAAGACAAGATAAGATAAGACAAGACAAGACAAGATAAAATAAGATACAAACATACATACATACATACATACAGACACACACATACATACATACATACATGCATACATACATACACACACATACATACATACATACATGCATGCATGCATGCATGCATGCATACATACATACATACACACACATACATGCATGCATGCATGCATGCATGCATGCATACATACACACACACAGACATACATACATACATGCATGCATGCATACATACATACATGCACACACACACACATACATACATACATACATACATACATACATACACACACACACAGACATACATACATACATGCATGCATGCATGCATGCATCCATACATACATACATACATACACACACATACATACATACATACATGCATGCATGCATGCATACATACATACATGCATGCATGCATACATACATGCATGCATGCATACATACATGCATGCATACATACATACATGCATGCATGCATACATACATACATGCATGCATGCATACATACATGCATGCATACATACATGCATGCATGCATACATACATACATGCATGCATACATGCATGCATACATGCATGCATACATACATACATGCATGCATCCATACATTGTATGCATGCATGCATGTATGTATGTATGCATGCATGTATGTATGTATGTATGCATGCATGTATGTATGTATGTATATGCACCTTCTGTTTTTGATTTTATACACATACACATGCACATGCTATTTTGAATATGTGTGATACCATGCGATACTCAGGCAGCTGTGGCCTTCCTGAGCGATGGCAGGTGGGGGAGTCTAGTTGGTAGCTGGATAAAACTGCTGTTCATATTTATATATATGTATTGAATACGTATATTTATGTATATGCTTTTGCCTATATATATAATATATATATATATATATATTGTATATATATATATATACATACACATGCAACATATCATACTTATCTATAACTATAATATGTATGTTCATATATGTACATATGCTATAAGCATGATGAATCTTCCCAAGAGTGGTTGCGAGCCACTCACTAGACTGGTGCACATCCAAGTGCAACCTCTCATAGGTTTGGAAGTACCTACTAAAATTTACGTTCTATACTTGTTACATGTTTCTGCTCTTCGGAAAAATGTGGCACATGGTTTTATTAGTTCAAGACATTGTAAAGGCAGATTTCTCACCAGTGGGACGGTGGAAAATCACCGCTGAAAACAGGTCTCGTTCCGCCTCGCGATGTCAAGCTTTCATGGTGGGTTTCATGGCGTCAGCTCCCTGGTACATGTCCATGTTGGGCCTGTCAGGCGCGGCACTGGGGAAGTGACGCTGGTGATGACTGCATAATAACACATTTTTTTGTGGTAGATAACTACAGTGGTAGATAACATGTCATAACCCCAATGATGGTATTGTTACAATAACATGAGAGGATCCTTACAAATTCATAACATGCGTAACATGGTAGATAACCCCAGTTCATGGTATTTAGGACCCTGTAATGTCTGAAGGATTCTTTTCTACCAGATGTCTGGCTGGTGTCGCCAGTGACACTTTGGGGAAATCTACCCGGGTGCAAGGTCAATGCCCAATGATAACCTTACTGATGGTAATCATTTGAGGAGTTAGTACTCACTTATACATGGGGATTTTGTTAAGATAATCTAATTTAGTATGCATTTTTATGTATACTTGTAAATATGATTAAGTACGTATATAAGCCTTTACATAAATTACAAAAATGTATGTATTATATATATATATACACAACGGTGCTGATTATCTTTGGATTCCATGGTGCTGTTCTTCGGCCGCATCCAGAGATGGTCCTGGGAGGTGTCCTGTCAGTCTACGCCGCTCGCGCGGAGCGCGCTGGCCGCAGAAGGGCGGCATTTTGGGATGCGGAGTCCCATCCGGCCTGTGACCCTTGGGACGGAATGGATGGGCTGGGGATGGGCAGGGGATCACCGTTACATCCCGGACATCCCTAACTTTGTGCTATTTTTGAACAAAAAGTGACTACCAGGGTTGGAATACATATCCATGTGGGATTTACTTAAACTAGGTCATTGTCGTCAGTTCAGCAGAGGGTTGTTCGAGGCCAGAAGTGGAGACATGTCCCCCAGTTTTGAAGAAGATAAACTGACTTTGAATATTGAACACTATTTACAATGCTGCCGTTTTGCAAGTTTCAAGTGGTTTGAATCAGGAGCCTGCCTACTGAACAAGTTTCTATATTTTTCTATACATATGTTCATAATTCTACACAGAATATATGAATATGCATAATATCTATTTATATTTGTATATACATATATACACATATGTACATACAGCAAATTATTTGCACTTAGTGTTTGACCTTTGAAGGTCAGCAACAGCAGAGCCGGTCCACAACAGCCACCAAGGATTTGGGCTGAGCAAAGTCCAGCAGAAACGTCGCGAGCCGCATCACGCTGTGATCAGAACACCTTAAACGTTGCACTAGTTACTTGTTACCATGGAATCCCAGAGTGAGCGACACTCTGATTTGAAATGTGGAGAATGGAGGACACCTTGATACTCCTTGATACTTGATGTAATACTTGATTCACATTGATGTTCGAAAACTAGCGAAAACTAACTTGCAATCGTTGAGGCTTCTTCCATTCTGCGTGGAACAAGCCATGAAGCTTCCAACAACTTCTGCCTTAGATCGTGCAGCTTAACCCTAAACTTTCCCACAGAGTGGCAGTGGCAGGTTTGGTGCGGGAACATCGTCAAAAAGTGTTGTTACGCAAGTGGATAGGGAAATCTTATCCCTCATTTGGGCTTTGCTCCCTTTTGGTTGGCAACACTGTTCGGACCCCATCAAATCTGCAGCAGAGCTAGCCGAGCATGGAAAAGAACGTTTGGGAGGAGCTAGCCGGGCATGCTTAAGGAATACAGCCTGGTAGCTCAGCAGTACACGCAGGCGGTGATTTTTCTGTGAGGTTCTTCGGTAAACTCCGATTTCAACAAAGATGGTGGAGATTCAGGAGCTGAAATGTAAAACTGAATTCCAAACCTAGTGGCATCTGTCTCAAGGATTCCATAGGGACCAACATAATATATGAATATATATATATAATTATATATTATATTACATTATATATATATATAATATTCCATTATATATATATATATATTATCATCCAAATATCTCAAGACATATCATCTGATATATCATGTGATGTATTTTGCGAAAGTACGTATTTACCACGAGGCACTTGCCATTGACTTGGTTGTTAACCAGCCAGGAGAACCCAGATCCTCGGGCTGCTGAATGGCTGTTGGACGAGGGGATGAAACGGACCAGGGGAAGGCCGCTTTCGGGGCTGAAAATGGGACCCAACTTCGGATTCTCACCATTTTCCCATGGGAATTTCAGGATCCTAAAATGGAGGTACGTTAGTACCATACTGTACCATATAAGGCCTTAAAGAAATGGTAGGTACCTCCAATTTAGGTTCCTGAGATGGCCACTGACATATTTTCCCTATCACACTTGCAAGTTGGTTTGGGCGCTGCAATTTCAGACGTGCCCATTAAAGTTCTGGGTGCCCCGTGTTGATGAATTTCGGCCCATGGCCAGGCCCCGTTTGAACGGCAACCCCTTGCTGCGTACGGCGGCAAGTAGGCGCCACCCCTGTGATCCATCTCAATGGATTTTGGAACAAATTACAAATTTGTTTATTAAACAAACTCCTGGGATATTCAAATCGGCTTGTGAGTCATCAATGACTACTGTATCTTTTGTGGATGTGAGAGTCCACGTTGTTGGCTTTAGGGTTGCATGTCATCCTAATCAGTTGTTCGGATATTCATGACTAATTTTCTAATGGTTATTGTTGGTGCGCCTCCTATGTTTGAATAGGTCTTGTGGGTGATAGCATCAAATCACCAATAATTCACTATTACCGTCAAATTAACAAACGAGTTGTCACCAAAACGACCATTAAAATGCTCACAAATCACAAATCAATCACCGCGAGAGCACAATATTTGTTTCACACAATCACCACAAAAAATCACCAGAAAAAACCACCAGAAAAAACCACCAGAATATCACCAAAGAATCCAAAAAACACCAAAGAAACCCGAAAATCGCAGGTGTCAAGTTTCCCTGGTCCGCCGCTTGGTGGAACTGCGGGCGGATCCCAGCGCGCCGGATCCGCGCTATGGGAGTACGGCCTGGAGCCCTGTTTTTTTTTTGCCCGGGCTCCAGGGTTTTACCATTGGGAAATCTTCCATCAGAAAATTGGGTACATAGTAAATATGTATATATATACATACATACATAGATGCATACATAGATACATAGATATACATACATTACATTGCATTGCATTACATTACAGTACAGTACATTACAGTACAGTACATTACATTACAGTACAGTACATTACATTACATACATATATTTATATATATATATATGAGTTATAAAGAAAATTACTTCCGTTGTTTGGGGAAACTTCCAGCTGTATATTAGCGTTATAAGGTAGACTATGGGTAACATTTGGGTGAATACATTACTTTGCAAGGTAAATTGATAATTGATGTGTTATAAGTTAAATATATCACATCAAGTAAATGTATCAGTGACAATGTAAATATAGTATTATAAGTTATAAGGGAAATATATCAGTAATAGGGCAACTCCCAGCTATAGGTTAGTAGTATATAGATCAGTTATAAGGTAAATGTCCTTTTATATTGTGGATAAATATACAACTTTCTTACTGACTATAATGGATTATTTCCTGATTGGGTATGGGTCACAACCCTGTACCTCTGGCACCAAAATTGCAGGTAAATTGATGTTCATTCCCCAAAGTTATGGGACTTAATAGTTTTTAAATCCATGCCCATATTGGAATGTCTAATGATTAACTGGGATTCATATACTTGGGGGGATTCCAAATTCGGAAGATTAAGGTTTGGGAGGGTCAAGTTATGGAGTTACCCAAGGGCTTACAAACCTATCCCTTGAGGAATTGGTTTCCAAGACCCTTGGCATTCCCAAGAGATTTCACAGTTTGCAGGGTCGAACATCATTTGCAATAGTAATTGAATAGTGCTGAACCATCCCACAAAGTGATGTTCACAGAGGAAGAAAGCGATCTCCAGGTGCAAAATTATCGAAAAATTATGAAAAATTGGGATTTTCTGGCTGGGTAGCATTGTTTCTTCTGGATATTGTGGTCGTGGTCGACATTTCCCCCATTGGGATCCCCTGGACCTGGACTCCCTGGACAGACGTTAACCCATGCCTCTGCAGTGCAGCTGTAAAAAAAGTCTCCATTGAGTTGATGAAGTCTCAATTTTCATTGAGAAATCTCTCATGTTTCATCCATGTTCATCCATTTTCATCCATTTTCTTAGGGCTTTTCACCATCTTCGAATCACCCGATGATCCGATGGTGATTTTTTTTCCAGCATCGAGGCCCTGGATCGTGCGGTCTCAGCAGGTTGGAAACTCAGCAGCTTAAGGAAAGGTACCAAAGAACACGAGAGCAGCTAGATACCCAAGAAATCCTAAGAATTTCAGAATTCCTGTGATTTTTGCAGTAAAACAATGGGTTGATCTATGTCGATCTCTTTGCTGCGAAAACCACCACATAGCAAAAATGATGATTACTGTGGATGGGCCAGCGAAATGCGAAAACCAGTTGGTATACCTATTGGCAACACTGTAAATAAATGTAAATAATGGGAGGACAACGGGATGTTTACCATCTTCCAACAAGTTTTCGGATTTCGCTGGCCCATCCCCAGTATGTATCAAGATTTCATGAAATTTTGGTGCTTAAACCCTGACTGGTTGGTGGTTTCAAACTTGTTTATTTTCCATTTCATATATGGGATGTCATCCTTCCCATTGACGAGTTTTCATATTTTTCAAGATGGCTATTGCACCACCAACCAGCTGAGTTTTGGTGGTCAGAACACGTTTTTTAACCCCTGGGTTGGGAGGCTGCAGCTCAGCAGCTCTGGCACTCCTGGACTTGGGAGCGGATCCCACAGCAGGACATGGCTGGGGCCACAGTCCGGTCGGAGTCTCCGGGTGCGTGGGAAGATTGATCAACTCGTTTTGGAAGGGTGATATTATTTTTCTTATATCAGATGTATAAGTTTGGAAGATTTATCAAAAAATTATGGATGATACATCTGGTAATGACTGACAGTTTGCTATTGAAAATGGCACCTTTAGTTCGTTGATTTACCCATTCAAAATGTGGTGATTTTCCATAGCTATGTTAGTTTACCAGAGGGTACATCTTATATACATGTTTCATATTTTATTCGTGAACACTTGAATGTTGGTATGATATTGTCGATAATTAATTTAATTGGTGGTCCACCCAAAACTGGTCCACGCAGCCAGTTGTAGGGTCTCTTTTCTGCGCGATGGCTCGCCACTACGTTGTCTGCAAAAAAAGTGGATGAAACATCCTGCAGTGGTTGTGTCACGTCAACGTGATGTCGACTCAGTCTAAGTAGGGATGCACACTTGCTATTTTGACTTGAACAGGTTGCCAGGGTTTGAGTCGCACTCATATCGGTTAAGGATGATAGGAGAAAGGATGGTGATATTGTGACTTTCCGTAGAATATTCGATTATGATGTTTATGTGAATTAGTGTTACGTCCTATTTGATGTTTCAAGACACTCAAAGTACCCGTAAGAACCCCGAAATATTCTAAAATGATCCAAAATGATGCGGCAAGTATTGCTTCTCATGGGTCAATCAAACGTACCCTCTGTGCATCTCTGGGCTTCCAAGACCGTCACAACAATTGTTGATCCTTATTAATTATGGGTACTCCAAAATCCCTAGCAAAACAATGGCGGTTGCAGCGACAATAATCAAACACCAATCATGGGCTATCAAAAATTGCGGGTATACCCCAAAATGGCAATGTTAACGGAGAACATGTTGACCCCCTGGTAATGACTAGCAGTTTGCGACATAGAAAATGGCCATAGAAATAATAGTTGATTTACCCATTAAACATTGTGATTTTCCATAGTTATGTAAACGTTTACCAAAGGGTATAGGTCTCTGAACGATGGTGAAACGTTTGGAATTTCATCGCTGACATGGTCAGAAGTGGCCTAGGCCGACAAAGCTTGCTCGAACGCGCCAGCCCGGAGGCAGGGGCGTGGAGCTTACAACTTACATCAACTTACGAAGCTCCGACTTTGCACAAATTATGCCACATATAAATCAAGAATCCGGAATGCTCTGAAAGGAATAGTCAAATATGCAAAGAATACACAACCTAACATGAAAATCCAAACTTGAACCGCGACATCGATCCAACAGGTGGCAAAGAAAATTCGCGCCACATAAAAGATATTTCAAAAAACAATTAAAAATATCATCAATACCATTATTATATGATTGTCGATCTAAAGATCCATGTAGAGATTGTCCATCGCAAAGTCCGCCAGGGTTCCAATGTGAGACCCGACGAATATTTTTGTCTAGATTCACGAAAATAAATTTATTATGGG